TGCACTGATTTCATTTGGGTCACGATAACTTCAATTAACCCTTTCGTGACTGACGGGACTGTGACGTCCCACTCAATGTTTTACTCCATAACTTGCATACAGCGTACCATTCGAGGCATAGCTAACTACAGGGACACATGAGTAACACTCATGCGCCTAAGTCAACTCAAAAGTAATTGACTGACGGGACTGTAACGTCCTGCCCAACGATTTACTCTATAACTTGCATGTTTAGCGCTAAATTCAAGGCATAGCTAACTAAAGGGACATATAAGAAACACTCCTGCGACTACATATGTCCAATCTAAAGGAATATTATCATTTGATCTTTTTGGGATATGTTATTATAAGCTATTACATGCGTTTGCCAAAGGAAGTTTGTGATATTATTCAACTACCAACAAAAAATATTAGGAAATTTTTTTTAGCAAATCAGTGATGTCGCAAATTGCGTCACCTCAGTTGGAACCATATACTACCGGGATTTTCTAGTGTCATATATATATAATTTTTACCATTAACATATACTTGATTATTTTTTTACGGAAATGCAGGAGACAAAATTATTTTTCCAGTTTTTTACAACACTTCTCTTTAACTTCACTTCTTGTTTGTCTGTTTGTCTGTCTGTCTGCTACAAATCTTATAATCAAAATTTGACACACTTCTACTTATTCTATCGATCTGAAATTTTGCACACTTGTGTAAAGTTGGAGACAATGCATGAATCAAATGTCAAAATAAATAATTTTAAAAATTAAAATTTTTTTTTCAATATTAAAAAAATTGAAAAATAATTCTGTCAGCTACAAATCTTATAACTGATATTCGACACACTTCTACCTGTTTAATTGATCTGAAATTTGGCACACTTTTGTGAAGTCAGGGGCAATGCATGAATCAATTAATAGAATACATAATTTCGAAAAAAATTTAGATATTAAAAAAATTTATACTATATTAAAAAAATTGAAAAATAAATTTTTTTAATATTCGAAAATTAAATGAGAAATTCATTGTACATCTGTAAGATTGGAGACACTGAATTCTTTGGAAGTGTTGTCTTTAAAAAGTAATTTTTAAACGTATATTATTTAATATTAAAAAAAAATTATTTTAAAAATTATTTATTTTGTCATTTGATTCATGCCTTGTCTCCAACTTTACGCAAGTGTGCAAAATTTCAGATCGATAGGATAAGTAGAAGTGTGTTAAATTTCGATTATAAGATTTGTAGCAGACAGACAGACAAACAAGAAGTGAAGTTAAAGAGAAGTGTTGTAATAATATACGTTTAAAAATTACTTTTTAAAGACAACACTTCCAAAGAATCCAGTGTCTCCAATCTTACAGATGTACAATGAATTTCTCATTTAATTTTCGAATAATAAAAAAAATTATTTTTCAATTTTTTTAACATATACCTAATTTTTTCAAAATATTTCATTCTATTAATTGATTCATGCATTGCCTCTGACTTCACACAAGTGTGCAAAATTTCAGATCAAATAGACAGGTAAAAGTGTGTCAAATATCAGTTATAAGATTTGTAGCTGACAAAATTAATTTTTCAATTTTTTTAATATTGAAAAATTTTTTTTAATCATTTATTTTGACATTTGCTTCATGCATTGTCTCCAACTTTACACAAATGTGCAAAATTTCAGATCGATAGGATAAGTAGAAGTGTGTCAAATTTCGATTATAAGATTTGTAGCAGACAGACAGACAAACAGACAGACAAACAAGAAGTGAAGTTAGAGAGAAGTGTTGTAAAAAATACTCTGAATCTATGAGGTCATTACGAGTTCTCAATTTTCAACTTGAAAAATTTTAGGGTTCTGAATTTAGTATTTCGTATTTTATAGAGGTGAGATTACTATATTGTACATGTCCTTAGAATGAATGGAAAAGCAACCTTCGCTTATAAATTCTCTTTTTGATAACTTATCTATTTGGAGTTTATAGTTAACGGTTGAAAGTCCTAAGATGAAGTTCATTTTTTTCTTAGTATAGAAAATTAAACTAACAATATAGTAAAATATAGAAAGACCTAAGCATCCCATGACCAAAGGACGATATTTTGTTTCGTTTTGTCGTCACTTTGGACGATCAGCAAAGGTGCACGTTTTCCTTGTTTTGATTTCTTTATCGTAAGAAGTGGCTCATAAACGTAGGCTTCGCGCTGAACAATATTTCAATGAGGTTGAAACAACAAACAAAATCTATTCCTGTTCTATGAAGTTTGTTCCGTGAATTAGTAATCACGCTAGGTGCAAGGAAGCGAAAAATTAAGACACTCGTCAAACAGCAGTCGGTTTAAAATTCACGACGACTGCAACGCCACGGCCGCGCAGGCCTGAGTAACGTTGCCACGTGTCTGCGTTGCATGCAGGGAATTCATGCGTGAGATGTGCGCGTGTATACCATGCATGCAAAGCGCGAGTGAACATCATGCGTGGATTACGAGAGATTAATCGTAAGTGCAATCTAGCATATCATGTCTGCAATGCACTAAAGAAATCATGCGTGGGATGAATTTAAGTATCTATTCAAAAGAACTCGAACAGGAATTAAGGTAATTGGTATAAAAATGGCTGCCAAAATGAAATGGAATGCATTTGAGCAGTAATAAATACAACTAACTCAATTTATTATTACTCGAAGTATCACTGCTGATTACGCAATTATATAAGTTAGATTGAGTTAACACTATCGTAAATATTCTGCTGAATTTTGAACGAACATCATAATTTTTTTCGATTAATATTGAATATTAAACAAGATATTTATCAAGATTGAAACAACTGACAAGCCGAGGAGACAGTTCGCAATATTTTCTATAAGAATTGTACTTGTGACTTTAAAGTAATAATAAAGTTTTCTATTGTTCATTTACAATTAATGTTATTATCAAATAGTGTAAGATAAAATGAATTCAGATCAAGTAAAATAGACTTTTTAAAAATATTTTTTAAGTTTCTTGTTACGTGAACAACGGGACTGTCTCTACCTCTCTCAGTTCGTTATCCGCTGAACAGTGAAGCAAATTCAATGAATTATTTGCTGACCATTTTGGGTGAGAAGGGGCCGAGCTTACTGATATAAGTCAGAACATGGCAAATCAATCTCAGAAAACAAATAAACACGGGGCGTTTGTTGAGCAATTTAGCTGTCAAGCGATGCGCGAAATAGTCAATTTCCACGGCCAGTAAATGGCTCTCTATACAAGATTCACAACAGGGTGGGTGTGATATATAGGCAGGATTGCTGCGCTCCTGATGTCAGAGCTCGCCCGACACACCCAAGCGCTGCACACTGTGAGAGCATGTGCTTGCCAACGGGAAATACTTTCATCCTAGAATTTTGATAAATTTAAAATGAATCAAATGAAAATACAAACTAAAATATTTCCAAGGAAAATCTAATATAAAATTTTCTTCCGAAAATTAGTTTTATTGACTGTAAAACAGAAGCTTAATTTATATTTTTAATTATTCCGGAAGAAGTTCTTTATTTATTCGAGCTTAATTTGGACCAGAGAATTATTTTTGTTTTGAATCTTGTTGTTTGTTTTTTTCTACGAGGCGAAGGATGTTTTTTGCTTACGTTGGCAGAACAAGGAGCAGGTGACCAAAAGACATTTTAATATGCTTAGTTCCCAATATATTCTACACAAATATACGTTTCCTATAGATTAATTTACTTGATGAATATTTTATATTCGAAACGTCGTACATTATAATGCCTTTTGCATGGTAACCTGCCTTTTGATCCACCAACGCTGGCAAAAAGCATCGTTCGACTTATAGAAATAAATAAAAAATATCTAATTTCGTTAACCACCTCAACAGCAAAACTGTTTTCAACATGTTAAGAATTTCTTCCGTAAATAATTAAATTCTGGAATTTTTCGATTTTCCAATGAATCCTACCTGGCATTAACTTCTGTTCTTCGCCCGCGTCTCTGCTCGGTACTTTCAGTGGACTGCGCGGCGCAGTTGTTGCGGAATAATCCAGTGGATTACAATTGCAGAGATTTGAAATGACTTAATCAGTTATTTTACGCCTTTACAACCATTATATTTCGATGAAATAAAGTGCATGATTGTCTTAATCAAAGAGAGAGGGTCAAAATTTTTAATTTTCAAGCTAGAATCTCCTCAATGGATGAGTGTGCATCCTCCCCTGGAGTGGATCAAATTCTTCTCCCTTCGCGCCTTCTGGAGGAAATCATCTGGGAGTTCAATGGGAATCACGCAATGATTCTACATAGCCAGCCGCATGCAGGTTAGATATCCGTTGTGTTATGCATGTAATTTCATATTTCCTATAAATTGCATGACGGCTTTAATAATGGTTACCAATTGACAATGAATCTCTACACCTCATCTGTATGTAAAGAAGCATTAGAAGATTATTCGGGAATAATGTGATGTACATGTAGTCTCCTGGCAATAGGTTCTAGTGGTGTCGGGAACTGTTATCTAAATCCTTTCCTACCGTTCTATGCGCGTCATCTCTTCCAGTTCCACATTGAGATGGGGATTAGAAACGATTAAAAAAGTCCTTGAATTGCCGATAAAAGACTGCCTATTGAATACTTCTGGCAGATCACTGCTAGTAAAATTTACTAAACCCCCACACCCATCACGTGAAAATTCCTACATTGACCGTCAGTCATGATGCCCTTACAGGGGACGAGCGTGACCTGACTGCCACCCTGGCCGCCCTGTGGAGGTTGTCAGTTGACACTCGTCTCGACACGTGCGGGTCTCTGCTGCAGCAGAATCAGGTCCTCGCTCACTCTAAGCTCCTCGTGCTGGTCTATTGCAACTTCACGGATACACTGGATTTATTCACGCAAGTACGTTAAATAAGTATATTCTGGCCAAGTAATCAGTAAGAATGAATTTGCTGTTAAATACGCTTGGAAGGATGAATATAATGATTAAGTGTGAGAGATTCTTGGCTTCATGATAATTTCGAAGTCTTTACAGATAAAAAAGAGACGTCAATTCCAATCACCGTTCATCACTTTGCTTGTTCCCGTGAGAACCTTGGTAGACCTCTCATTGCTGGAGGCCATCTTGATCGAGGAACACCAGGTATATAGAACAGTCAAAGACATTTATTGAACGGAACTATAGTCGACATAGCATGTCGGGCTACGCTTAAATGAGGCTATATTTTGACACTTTTCCATTCTATTTCGCTTCTCTTTATTACTATTTCTGCTTTCTTTGTAACATGAAGGGAATAAAATCAATAATCTAAAAATCTTCACTTTAATACATCGTACCAATATAATGCCACACCCTTCTGTACAGGTGCTGGCGGTGCTTTTGCTTCCAGAGAAAGCGCACATTTTCCGCTCGCAGGTCCTGAAGAATGAGAGCATTTCGTGAGTATAAAATATTTCGAAAGATAGCCTGAGCCTGATAATAGTCTTGATAATAAAGATTTTTTCACATAAAAATAAGTTTCAATCGTGTTTTCTAGAATCACCTGCCTATAACCTATCATAAATAAATATTCCCTATAGTATATGAAAACATACAGCGTTGTGGAAATAAATTAATATGTAAATTAAATATAATTGATTTTACTTTTATTTAGATTGATTGAAATTGGACTCTTTAAAATACCGACACCTGGGGAAAATATTGCGGGTCCACAATTTGAGGGATTGAAGTCAATAATGAGTCGCTTCGTTACACATGGACTTCAAAGTGACTCGTACCGTACTCCGGCTGCACAATCAGGCAGTTTATTGGATCGTGTCTACAAGAACCAGAGTTCCGGCGACCTGATTCTTAAATCCCCAGCCTTCCTAACCAAGCTTGACCTCCGCAACCAAAACATGGGCGGCCGCACATTCCTGGCCAGCGTGGTGGATAATTTTCCGTTCTTCAAAATAAGACGAGACGACACAAAAGGCAGCGAGACCGGGTCCGGAATAGACTATAGCATCGCTGAAACCATCGCAAAATTCTTGAATATTACGTATGTTGTTCATTTTAAGTTTTTTACGGTTCCATTTAGGAAATTTTAGGTCGAGTATATTACTAGGGTGGACGCTGAGGAACGAATCTTATGGATTGAGTTACAAGTAAAAAGGTTTTGAACTCACATGTTCGCCCCTGATCCAACGGAGATAAAACAAATAGGACTGCTTGACGAGCAAGTTCACATTTGTCGGCAGATAGTTCAACAACGGCTAATTTTGACAAATCAATTCTCTCCTGGTGTTATTTGCATATTTTTCACTTTCCAATTAAAATTTTTCGAACAGTTCTATGATCGGATTGGTATGAAAAGTCTTAACATTGACTGAAACTTCCAGGATTCGCATCGTCACGCCCGTTGACGGTCAATGGGGGCGACGTCTCCCGAACGGCAGCTGGACGGGCATGATCGGCATGGTCGAAAGACGGGAAGCGCATTTCGCGATCGACCAGATCACAATAACGGGTAACTTGATCACAATAACGGGTAACAATGAAAAGATGTTCCGCTGTATATTTTTCAGTACGTAATTTGCCGTGCAAATATTTTTCCAGTACTCATTGAACCTATTTCTAACATTTCAATGAAACAAGATGCTAAATTTTTTTAATCAACCATTATTAAACATAACCGTAGTGATGAGATTCAGGGGAAGGGATGAAAAGCACGTGAGAAGTTTCAGGTTTAAACCCTTACCTATTAATAACGAATTGTCTTCTTCGAATGAACTTTGTCCTGACCCCTGACCTATATGTGAAATATAGTGTTCACTAGAGAGTTTAAATAACTTTTTACTAGAGCCGCAATTTTTTACAGGTGAACGTGAAACAGCTGTCGACTTTTCTCGCTTCTATTATTGCGAGTCAATGTCGATTGTATCACGAGCTCCCGTTGCAGCTAACCAAGCTCTCGCAGTCTTGTCTCCCTTCACTTCTGCTGTAAGAAATGTTCTCCGATAATTGCGAAAAATCATTTTCACTCTTCGTAAAAGTTTTCCGGTTTTTCTTATGATTTAACACTAGTTCTATCGCGTTACCTTCCTGGAAATTTATGACACTTAGTCGGTGAACTTATGTTTCCACCTTTTGTTACTAGTCTAATCTAAAAAATGTTCAGCAAATCCTGTCAAAAAATATTCCATTCAGAAGCAGCTGTGTTTGTCTCAAGGTGTGGCTGTTGCTGCTGGTGTTTTTCCTCCTGGCGGGTCCGACTATGAAGATATTTAGCGTTTGCCAGCAGCGCTTAGGGCTGCGCACTGAACCCAAACGTTCGTCTATGTCGGAGTTCAGTTTCTACGCGTTCCGTCTTGCGTTAATGCAGCACGACGAATCCGTCGCAATCAAAACTCCATCGCTGAGACTCTTCGTGATTTTTTGGGCGATATTTTCTTTTATTCTTACAGGCAAGTTTTTTGAACAGACGACTGTTCTTATCTTACTATTTCGGTTGAAATTATTTACAGTTATTTTTTTATCTGTGTAAGTCCTTTGCAGATTAAAATTACACATAGAAAATTCTGTTACGATAGAGCCGCAAAATTAAATGGAGCGTCGCCAAATGAGGTTTCATTTATTATGGTTTTTGGAAATTTGCGCAGTCTTGTACTCCGGACACCTGACGGCAGCTTTGGTATCTCCACCTCACGCGCGGCCCATCAGCAGCCTGCAGGATCTGCTGACGGCGGTCACGAGGGACGGAGTCTTGCCGGTCGTTTTCGAAGGCGGTTCCGCACATGCTGTTTTTTCTGTGAGTCAAAAGTTCTAGAGATTTTTTGGATTTTTGTTTCGGTATAAACCCGATACTAGAGGATATAAAAGAGATTCACACGCTAAAACGCACGATTAAAAAGCTGCTTGCAACTTATCAACGACAAAAACATCTTGAATTTTATGTCAAATATTTGGTTTGAAATCTCAAAACAATCGATTCCGTAATGTAAATATCTTAAGTTTAATTCATAAATTCAAGCCCAAGGGGTTTACTCGCAATTCGGAAATAAAAAAAATAAAAAGACTGCAAGAATTAAATTTCTAGAGTATGACATTAATTGAGGTCGCTTCATTTGCAGCTGTCTGAAGCCGACATTTATCGCAACTTGTACCAGCACTTCACGGCCGACAGCTACGTCACCTCTACAGCCGATGGATACAAAAAAGTCAGTGGCATATTACAGACCAGGGATTGGTTGCTTCTATGATTCATTGCCATTGTTATAATGAATTTGAATTACTCTTACATGAAACAAAAATCATGGGAACAAATTCAGATTTCAAGTATCCAACACAAATTACTTTATTTATTAATTTCAACGTACATCGTAGGAACGTAGAAAGATTTTCAAAACACAAATGCGACTGAGAAAGATATATTACTAACGATTGACCTCTATTTAAAAACATTCTCCTATCAAATATTTGGTCCTATATGAAGCCGTGACATTAGCTGGTAATTAGATGCTAAATATGTTGTAACTCTTTATAATAATGCAGTTCAAACTGAAAAAATAGGTCGTTTGTTTCTATGATAAAAGTTTAACCATCGCAATGAACACGTTGAACATTATTGTTGTTTGAATAAATTCAGCATTTGATAAAATCTCCCTCCACTTGTGACAAAACATCTCAACAACCTAAAATTATTTTTTGTGACTCCTTTTCTGCTGGGTACCTCAAAATGTCGGGCTATCATCTAACAACGCTTCTACAGTTGATAGCATCATTTACGAGGTGAAGTTTCATTATGCTTTGTTTTTAAATATAATTTTGAGCCAAGAGACCGAATGATTGAAGAAGAAGCCTAATTTTCCTTCTCTCTGGCAGGTGTTGACCAGTAACGGGGCGTACATAGGAGGCGCCTTGTCTGCCCGGATCAGAACTCTCACACTTGGCAGCTACAAGTTCAGTGTGGCGCGGGAAGCTTTCTCTTCTGAAAGCTACGGCATTGCCGTCAGAACTGGTGCTCCTTATCTTATAGCTTTCAACTCAGCGTAAGTCTTATGATAACATAACCATATTTGGAAATTTAAGTCTTTTGAAAACAACTTGTAAAACTACACTTATGAACATACATGAAGTAGTGTTATTTCATTCTCAATCAAGAGTTAAGCTTCTTCGTGTACGATTCTAACTAATACTACGTACAATACTCAAGTTTTAGATAATAGCTCTTCAATGCACTGAATTTATACCTGATAGCAGTTTTAACGCAAGGTCCTCAGCAAGTTGTCAGAATCCTAAATATTTTTTTGGGGGGGCCAGCAACTCTTTAACCAAATGACGGTAATCACATTGTAACTCTGGCAATCGAGAACGTTCAACCAGAAGTTTTAAGTCGCAATCACGGCTATAATCTATGACAATCCCGTAAGCGTCATCGCTTCCAGCTTCACTATCAATATTTAAAGCTTCAAATAAATATATTAATAATCGCGGACATTAACACGAGTTGAAATAATTTTAACTTCAAATGAAATTGGTCTCATAATAAAAATCGGTCTCAGGTTGGGTCGCCTTGTGGACTCTGGCCTGATCGGCAAGTGGGAGCGCGAGGCGGTGGCGAGCGTCACGCGGCAGTCCGCCCTGCAGGCGGCGACGGGGGAACTTCTCGTGTCCCTCAACCTGCATCATCTGCAGGGGGCGTTCGTGTTCTACGCCATGGGCATGACATTAGCTCTAATTTGCTTCCTGATTGAGCGCTATTGTTCAGGAGGAGCTAGGAAACAATTACTAGGCATCGAACATGGCTTCAACTGCAGGAGTTTAAAAACTACCAGTGGCTGATATTGAATTAGATTGAATTGATTACCAAAATAATGTGGTTATTCTGGAATTGAGCGAGATTTCACTTACATGAGGTTGCCAAGGACTCAACCCAGACATTTAGAAGTAAAAAGATGACTTACGATAAAACTTACAACTATTAAGGTAAACTGAATGATCACACTACATTCCGTGGACTTCTCCAGTTCAAGATGCTAACCATTTTCGGGTTTTACAACGAGGATTGCGTACGAAAAACTGAAAGCTAGATTTCCAATTTGAGTAACATCATCACTCATTTACTGAATACTTTTGCTGCACTGATTGTACTTTACATCACATTGTTTGTTCAAATGCACTTCACCTACGTTTACACTCTAAATATCAAACGACTTGCCAATGGAACGATATGCCAAGGTTCCAAACAATGAACGCTTCGGGCTGCTTCGATTTTCATGACTTCGTTTCCAAACTATTTTACCTAAAACCTTCTCTTGATAATTTCCTTCAGCTATTTCCATCATAATTTGCAGGAAGCTGCGCGGATGGTATTTTCTTTTACGAATCTACCGCCGTTAATATTTCTTGCGGCTTGCCAAGACGAAGCATAATTTGAGATGAAACGGGCAAAATAGCTCAATGTCGCTTGTGGACAGCTCTTAAGAGTAAAGGAAACCACATGTTAGCAGTAATCTTATATTTTCGCTTACGTGTGCTTAAATGTACTCAGGCAATCGTAAGAGCAACGTACAAGCCTTAGAACTAACAAAATGGTTCGATAAGCAAGCATTCGATAAAATGATTCCACAATAGAGAGGGTTAAGAGCAAATTAGAGTTCAAGATGTGTTGTAACAACATCAATGAGAACATCATGCAAATAAGACCTTGTAGACAAAAATTAAATTGTTTGTCTTGTTTGAACATTCTTAGCTAAATGTTATAATAACTTCACATTCATATATTCCACACAATTCGAATGTTTGCTAGCTCGTAAGTGATGCTACATACACTCAAGACATAAATTCATAACAAAAATGTATAGAACAACTTTTCACCATACCACGACATGTCGTCGAGTCAAATCAGATTCGGTCAATGAAATCAGTACTCAATAAATCAATTAGAGTTTCAAGCCTCAAAGTTGAGTCAAAATGGATTCCAATTTTCTATTGAGAAATTCTACCAATATTCTACCAATTGAGAAAATACTTCAAATAACGCATGATTACATTGCATCCGAGGCACATGAATTGCAACGCAACATTCTAAAGGCTACTATACAGAAATTTTTCTTCCGAAGTGTGGAAACTTAAAGGAAAGCATCCAAATTATACAGTTCATTCACATCATTAATTTCTAATTACCTACTGTTTTTAACCAAATTACGGGGTTTTATTAGTTTCACTATATCAGTCTTGCGTTCATCTAGAAGATTTCAAAGTATAATTCCATGAAGAATGACACGACCATTTAAATTTTGATGCATAAAATTACGAGAATAAAGAAGATGCGCACTTAAATTCGGCATCTGTGAATGATACAAAAACGTATACGGAATGTTAAATTATCCATTCTTCAATTAACATAAATTTCACTATATATAATGATTATTATACGTGACTATTATTTTCATGATTATATACGAGCACTTGATATTAGTAATTGATAATATTAATTTCAACCACTTGTCTTTGGGTTGAAGTTGCAACGTAATGAAAGTCCCAAAAAATGACGTACTTGAAGCATAGTTTGTTATAATGAAAAGTTTGCTTCAGTGCAGGAAAAAATTTCAGTAAACAACTCGGATCCGAAAGTGACCAACACGCAAATGCTTTTTCTTGCAGTTCTATGGTACGGGAAACCGAACTACAGAACGTCAAGACTCTTAGCAACGCAGCAAACAAACGAGCGCGTTTGTTAGTCTGCATTCAATTAATTATTCAGCCGCTGTGCTAGCTAAACAAATTGAAGGGAGACTAGGTTATTCAGCATGCAATACAAAATTCAGTGAATATGGATTCTAAAGAGGGGTTTGGGAAGGCCAAAGAAAGGAAATATCTACAGTATAGCGAAATTAACCTTGGTCATTTTACGCCATTAGAGAGTTTACCAGCCGAAAACTAAATATAATAAATGTTGAGTCGCGATTGCACAGGATGCAACAAAATTGTCTCATGGAAGCGACCACAGATCTTTGATTTCCTGCACAAATGTCTGTCAATGAATAACGTATACACGGTTTTAAATTTTCGTCTTAACAATAGTGGTTAGTGGTTATAATATTGAGGAATAATTAAGGGTGAACTAGCGAGTTGATTTAAATTTCAAGGCCACAATTCGATCGATATGGGAAGAACGAAGCCAAGCGAACAGTAACTTCTAATGCTATGATATCCTAAAGGTAACATTGGATGGCAGAATCCTGAAGGAAATAAAGCAAGCTATTCGAGTTTATGATCTGCAGCTCATCACCATATTGTTAAGCGTGGTCAAGTATTCAAGTATTATTGCTTCCGCAATAAAACGGGAGGATGATCACGAAGAAGTAATTGATTCGTAACGTGAACGATTATCATTTCTCCTGCTTGGTAACAAGAATATTAAACAAAGAATCAAAAAAGAATCTATGAATATCAACAATATGAATGACGATGGGCATTCATAATGTTTCTGATGGCGATCCTCGTCGTCTATATCGAATGACGAATCTGAACAGAATCCACACGGTTTTAACAGAATCAAATGACGGTTTTGAACAGAATCCACTGGCCGGTCAAGAGCAGAAGTTTCAACACGGTAGCAGGTTATTTCTGAAGCGTTACACCACCATTCCAGAAGATGTCTGCAGTATCTGCACAATACGGAAAGATGTCAAACGTGGAAATAAATAATATCCTTTAAGCTAAAATAAAATCTCTAACGATCATCCATCCAAAGCCATGTAAATTTGTCTTCAGTCAGACAAATCTACGGAACATGATGCAGATGCATTGACAAGCATAAATATAGTTGTGAAACTATAGCATGATTAGTGTAACTTGGTCATCATGACGAGGATATTGAATTATATTTTGTTATTTAGACTTTCCTATCAACAACAGAAAAAAATGCTAAACAATTTCTCCGTGCTGATCCAATTCACTGGAAAAAAAATTGATAGGGATAAATAACTTCTTATTCAGAGATTATCTACTTGATACTTCATAAATTTATAGTTTTTCTATCCCGAGAATAAATCCAGTTGGACGTACGTAAATACAGCGAAATAAAATATGAAAACTTGGAAAAAAACGTGCAATTGTAAACTCCGCATATTTTTTCAACACAGAAATTATACAATACACAATCTCTTAAAGGGAGAAATAAAGAATGGTTTGAATCAAGTGAAAAGTAACGCCATCCAGTGAATCAATCGAAAATATAAACGATCTATCTTGACTTCATTTTTGTGATAAGATAAGTATAATGCGAACACCAGTCGCGTCCTCAAGCCGCTGCCAGCGCTGCGGTGCATGGGCCTTCATATCGTCTATGATGGCGGCCCTCGTCAACAAAAATTATTTATTTTAAGAAAACCTGGAAATATTTTGTGCGTTGTCTGCTCATAGTTTGATTGCAACAAGATGTAATCAGCGACATCTTTGATGTAGAACAATTTATGTAGAGCGCTAATGAATTGGAGGCTATATAAGAATTTGGCGGTTCTATGACACAACTGATGTCTGTATTTAACTCAAACCGGTAAATTGTAGAGGAAAAATTCAGCTGGTTTCAAATAGCAAACAAGTATCCATTAATGCGGCAGTGTCAAACTTGCACTTAATATTTACATGATTTCAATGAATTAAGTTCTCCAAAAGTAATATTGAGCAATTCTAATAATGTCTCATTTCAAGAATAACTTGCACCGAATAGTCACAACTATACCGTAAAAATACCATAGAGGATCTAAGCAAACAGCAACCGTTCCCATTAGCGGAAACACAGAAGAGCTGCAAGTATGTATGGGGAGCTTGTTGTTAATGTCGACTCAGACTGGACTATTAGCGACTCACTAAGCGAAAAAGCCAAAATTAAGCAAAACTGATCGTTCCCATTGATGGAAACACGGAACAGCTGCAAGTAAGTATGGGTTTTAGTTGATGATGTCGACTCAGGAATAAACTATCAGCGACTCACCTGGAGTGGCAGAACAGAGAGGAGGCTTGCCCTGGGAGACTGATTTCGTACACGAGAAGTCATGCAAAATACTTAGCACACCATGATGCATAATGCAGTCCAGCGAATAGCAAATAAAAAAAAGAAATAGAAAAAAATCACAAATAACTGTACACGAATTAGCACCTACGATATAAACAATGAAATATAAAACAATACAAAGCGTACTTGTCTTTCGAAGCGCACTTCCGAGCGCAGGATATGGCAGGCCAGAGCTACTCGCCTGACAAGTGGATTATGTTACAGGTGCGATCAACAGCAAAGAAGAATTGGAGCATCCATGTAGGACGGAAAAAAATATAACTCGGTAGGTACTCATTGCAGTGAGTGACAGAGAGCGCATTTTCTCGTCGACGAAAACATGAAGTCACGGACGGACAGACAGACGGAAGTGTATTTTTTTCCACAAACTAGAAAATGCGCTAAAAAGCATTGCACCGTGTGAGTTAATCATCAAATATTATGAACAGATTATAGATAATGATTAAAATTAATGTATAATACGGCTGCAATGCTAAGTCTTCTTGTCCATTAATGACGAAAATTCACTTAAAAATCAAATTTTTCGGATAAAAAATGTCCTACGTTAATTTAAAAATCTATTGGAGCGAAGGAAATGGAACCGTGTAATTACTTTGAAATCAATAAAATAAAATAAAAATCATGTAGCACTGTAAATTAGAGAGCAACCTTAGCGTTTGAATATGGATTAACCGAAACTTATAGCGTTCAATTTATTGTAGACCTTTCAATTCTTTAAACAGGAAAATAAATTCAAATCACATCATCACAAAAGTATACTGAGGTGCAAGATTTTCCTTTATCAACATTAAAAACAATTAGAGAAAAGAACATTGCACGTAATGTAGAACACTTAGCCGTTGCTTTCTCGGAAACGCGTAACAAAAAGTTACTCGACCGTAAGTTGTGTCCATTGATGTCGTCTTTAAATCAATTAGGTTTAAGAATTCGCAACATTTAAAAAGTCGAGCTGGATTAGAAAATTGTCTATGCTTCAGATCTATTGGAAATGCAAGAAGCGCGGTATTAAAAAGTGCGCAAGTCTAAAGTGATTAGTAGGCACGCAGAGCAAGTGACTTCTGAGATTTGAAGCGCATTGCGCCCCACACAATCCTATGTCGTCTATCATCTATTCAGAGAGACCGTTTAACATATAATAAAGAGTCCAGGGGTCTACAAATAGTTTCATATTCTCCTACCGAGGGAAAACGAAGTGATAAGCTCTCATAAAAATAAATGACTCGATTTGTAACCAGAAACATTTCAATCTCAGCGTGAACTGAGCCAAAACGTAAAAACGACAGGATTCAGATGCCTGTAATACGTCGCTTACACACTGAAAGTTTCGAGTAGTGAACGGATCGGTAAATCATGCCAAAATTCCAAAAAAATAATGTGTAGCAATTGAATCCATGAACATTCAGCATTAAATTAACATCAAACATTAATCAAGTCAATTAGAAAACGTGTTGGCTCTGTGCAGACGCCTCATTTGCATTCTTATCAATTGTCTTTGCCACTCACGAGAACGGCAGTAAAACAACACGGAAACTAAGTAATAAACAGTTTATTCTGGCGCATGGTTCCTTGGTCCGATCTGAAATTGACATTATTTACAGAAATAAAAAAATAGCAAGTAGCCATTTTCAGAGTCAGGTGTACAAATGGTCACAATCTAGCCAAACATGAGGTTCGCGAGATGCTAAACATTAGTGTTGAACAAAAATAGTCAATCTATTCTCAAAGAACAACAGTGCACCTAAGTACAAATACCTTACACTTTTACACTCATACTGAAACCAAATGCAAGATTTGAGAAAAACATAAAAAGTAAAGCACGGGATGTATTCTACAGGTTAAACGGGCATTAAAATTAGACAAAGGTAAGAAATAATAAATAATGTTCAAGACTGGAAACCAAAAGCATGGAATATTTTCTTGATGCCTGTTGATGAGTGTTGGTGGCGGGGGTCGTCGTGATGACGGGTGGGGGAGGAGGGCCTGGCTTGTACGGCAGCGCTCATGGGCTCACTGAGCTGTGAGTGCAGATAACACAATCAGTGCTAATATCGTGCAAAAATATAATATACAAATGATAATATCGTGCCAAAATATAATATACAAATGATAATATCGTGCAAAACTCAAAAAGAAAATTGTGGTCCAGGGGCGGTACTATAAAAAAACTCAAATACGCGTAGCGGCTTGAAAATCCGTCAATGACGGAGCAACGAACTTTCAAGTATTTTTGATTGTATTGTACGTTACGTCCACAGATTCAATCAAGTGCAAGTATACCTACGGTGCAAGTAAAGAAGCCTCGATTAATAACAACTCGACTGAGTGAAAATTTTTTTTTTCTAAATAGGTAATATTCTTTTCCGGCTGAGAGCAAAAAGTACCGTAAAATCATGATGTTTCGAAGAGACAATCTAGGAGTCAACCTAAGCTGGAAATAAACCTCAGCTTTGGTGCGTTCGTCGATAAATAGTATAAATAAAATTAACTGTTGATGAAATGTTGACTTTAAACGTGGCCGTGCATAATTACTAATAAAATATTCATTTAAAATTTGAAAAAAACGAGGAATATTTGTTCTCACAGCGTTTCTCTTTACGAAAGAAAATAATTCGGGTAACTTTTTGCGGGCGGAAAAATTGAGATAATGCACGAATGACATCACTTAAGAGTTATTCGGATTATTTTGGTCCTGTCTCGAGCTAGATGAACGTTGCCAACAGTAAATAAAAAATTTCGAAAAAAATGAAATGCAAATGAAAAATTTGCCAAGTATTATGTAATCAAGATCTAATATCAAGTAGATATTATGTAATATCTAAGAAAATTTTCTGAAGTCAAAGTGCTGGAAATAAAAATAATGTACGAGGGGACAGTCAATTAAGTAACACCAAGTCTGTAGAATTTGAGAAACGCTACCAAATTAAAACAGCAAAAAAAAAGATATATTTTCAAACTCACTAAAATCTAGACACTCTTCAGAATAACTGATTTTAAATCGATTAAAACGTAATAAATTTACTCAAAAGAGTTTGAAAAATTGAATTGCATGCAAAACTACAACAATATCTCAGCACGACTAAATGTGAAGATTAAGTGAAAATATCGTATCATGCATAACATCCATAATACATAATAATAAATGTAGACCAAGACTCACTGGAATTCGCTTTAAAATAGTAAGTTTATTCCCCAACGAATTGCACTTCAAGTGATAAGAATAAAGAGTATTTTTTTAGCTCACACCAGCAAACGACAATTATGGAAAAACAACATAACCATTCATTTCTTAGTGATTTAGATTAATATAAGATGTGATTAGTTGTCACACATCATGCAATCGATATTTCATTTTGACTTACTAAGACGACATGAATGAAAAATGGCTGCGAAATGCTTCTTGTGTTAGGCTTACGTGACTTTTAGAGAAGTAGATGATAGAAAAGAACAAAACATGAGGCATACTCAATATATCAAAAAGCCAGTTTTCAAATGTATGAAATTCTGGTTTAATGGAGGTTAGAATAAAAAACTGAGAGGAAACAAAAAAATACAAACAGCCGTTCTTGAATCCTGTGCAGAGAAATCACATCCATCACAGAGTCGAGAGAGACCGGACTAAAGAGACTAATTGGATGCACTGAAGTTTCCAGGGGTTCAATAGGTGCCAAAAATGCAAAAATGAAGAACAAACTTAAATTTCTTCCACAATTAGAGTGTGAAGATCGGTGATGACAATAAGCTCACTGTCGCATGCATAGGAGGCTTCAGAGACTAGTTTTAAGATACGAGCAGCAGCGTTTAGAGACTGGCTACACCAGCGAATTATTTAATCAAATTTCCACGAAAAGACCAGACCATCCGTGGCGAAATAACGGTGCACTATTATTGAATGAAAAGAATCACTTGCAGAAGCTAGAAGTGCATCTGCCATAATCATAAAACGAAGTAATTTAGACCAATAATAACGAGGAGTAGGTTTAGGTGAACAAATTACTCCAAATTATCGCAACTCAGATATCCCAAAGATGCACGAAGAACAGCAAACGGGATTCGCTGGTGCAAGACGAGCGTGCAGTGTAATCCCCAAAAACACAAAATCAGAGTTGATGCAATAAAATATACTTTGATTAAAACTCAAATTTGAACGTTCCTATGATGTACGAACAGCAGCACCACGAATGTGCAAGTGAAATAAGTGCGTGCAAAAGAGCCCGGTAACATGTGACAGGCGCGTCAGGCGATGACAACGAACCCTCAAGTGCGCGTGAGCTGCCGCTTGCTGGGCTGAGCTGACCGAGATGCTGTGCCGCACTCCGGGCTTAAAGTTACATCAGATGCGCAGCTTATCGCACTCGACTGTGGGTAGGACATATGCAATCACAACCAACAAATTCCGCACATGAAATAACATCTTCGCTTGGGTGGACCTGACTGAGTCTTTCCCACACTCCGACATTAACTCGTAAGCTGCAGACGCACATTATAAAAGAATAAGCGAATGAGCATTCCGAAGGCTTTTGCAATCATTCAATGAACAGAACATCAAGTTTCCAAAAAAAAAAAACAGTACAAAGTCGGGAGTCTTTCACATTTTCTTTCGCATCCAACTCTTTACTCCAAATGAGGGTTTGCGTGTATTAAGAAAAATTCCACACAACGTAGCCCGAATACTAGACAGTGGGATTCACATATAGGTAGTTAATGAGCTTTCTCTGAGAAAAATATGAACTAATTAAACTGACACATGACTTCCACCCACACCACGAAAGATCAGAAAAACATTGCTTTCAATTTCAAACGTACAAAAACATCAGGATATTAGCACTCTTTTCATCGGCGTTGCTCCGGGCAAATATACTGTGCAGAGCGAACAGAATAACCTTTCCCACAGTCTACAAGATGCCATAAATCGCAACAAGAATTCTTTCATGCTTGAAACCAAGGCCTCAAGTCGATTATTCTGATCTAATAATTTCTCAATTTAACTGAAAAATAAGACATTGAGTCGGTTTCCTACGCTAGTTTAACAAAAGAAAACATGTCACAAGGCACACCAGTAAGGGTCTCTGGATTGAGCCCGCAATTACTACCTATAGCCTCAACTATATAAGCATGATGTTAAACGAAGTATTTAACCATCTACCGCCGTATGTCACTCTCCGAGAACATAACTTGTAACTTAAATTATACGTAAACTATTGAGTGTAGCAACCTGAGGACGTTTGTACGCAACAGAGGACATTTTAAAGTTGTACGTGGCGGCAACCATCAGTGCAAGACATTTTGCGCTCACTAGAACGTATCCTTTTTGGGAAGTAGGCTTGTGAAAATATTGCTCCGGTTACTTATGTCAGGCGGTAGAGGGCGATGAGATGTTCTATTTCAAGGCAATAACTGCAAGCATACTATCAAGCATGAAGATGATGAACCAGTAACACGTTCTCCCAAACCCCTTGCAAACAGATTCATTCAGCTGTTATTACAACTTCAAGCATATGACGTCATCCTTAAGCAATAATATCAAGAGCCGATACGTTCATTCATCTTCATTGCGACATTTAAAGTACCTCACAAAGTCAGTCCACGGTACAGTGAAAGGCGCATGAAACGGAAGGAAGAATGAAAGCAAAATCAAGAGCAGAAAGTAAGAAACTCACCAGAGAGAAACGGTCAAAGAGTCCCACAGCTACCCTCTAACCCCATCAAGATATGTACTACTATGCATTCTAGTTGCCAAAAATTCAAAGTTTTGCCTCCTCGTCAACGATATTGATGATGAGTCTGGCCGAGGAGGATATTGTCATCACTTTAATAGATGCGAGAATTTTTTGAAGTTCACATAGAAATTCGCACCGGAGGTTCACGACTGAATCGCTGAATCAACTCGCGGCATCCTAGCAAAATCGTCAGTAAAAGTGTGTGATGAAGTCGTAAATAATTTAGAAAACTGAAGTAATTTTCAGGGGCATGAACGGAACTTTGGCGCACATTACAGATAACTTCATCGACTAATACATAAAGCACCTCAAAATGATTCGACGTAATGGCAGGGCCTGTAAATTAGGCTTGGCATGAATCGTATTAAATTCTATTTTCGCTCATCGCCAAAAACGCTTCAGAAGTTCGACTTTAAAACAAACTTTAATGCCCTTCCGTACATTAAAATCAAATTTTTATGACCGCAAAAAGCTTAAATAAATAGTTTAACTGAAGAGAAATTGGGTGTGATATAATAAAGCAAGCATGACAACAGAAATAAGAATACACGTTTAATATTTACGAAGTGCAACGATAATAATTTATTATGGAACTCAATTCGAGGCAAAGCAATACAATAGTATCAAGGAAAGAAACGACAAGCCATGAAACGTTTATAAACGTATACCAACGAAAAGAATTACATAAACATCGTCACTATCGTATATATATAACGTAGAACGGCGAGGCATGCTAACAACAATAGTGAATACGACACAGAGAACAAGTGCACAATAAACGTGAGTCTTGGCACGTACCATTGGCGTAGATGGTGAGTACGGAAGTTTATGAGATGTTAGTAAATTTTGAGTATTTTTATAGGTATCTACGATACCATGGAGGTTGTTGCACACGATGCAGAAGCATTAACCTTAAACTGCTAGATTATTTGTTTAATCCAGTCACGAATGCAGTTAGCAATGAGAGAACTTGGACGCGCGAGCAGCGAAAAGCTCAAGAACATTAGATGAGGATACCGTAGTATAAATCACCGCAATGATAGTAGTAACAAAAATATCCCAGGAGACCCAAAAATTAGAAGTAAATAAGAAATGCATGGTCGCTGAGAACATCTAGCAATATTATTTAAACTAAATCAGGCAAGTCAAGACATTATTGTTGTAGATGGAACATTCAAGTGTGACAGCGGTTCCATAACTGTGTTACGAGTACCAATAGTTTTATCATGTCAAGAAAGATTTCTAGTAATTTCCACGTCTCGAAAATATTTGCTGCCAAATACAAGAAAATCAAGCAACAATTAGCAACAATTGTCCCGCGCCACCCACCATTTCCTAGCAGCCCACCGTTAAATTCCAACAGTACACCTAATTATTAGCGCATTAACTCCATTAAGTAATATGTAAGTGAACTAATACCATTTACTAACATTACAAAAGGTTTGGGAACCAATGAAGTAAAGCATTGGTAAACTCACAAATACACTATCAATAAGGCAAAAAGTTTGGTTAGCTAACAGATCAGTAAGAGTAAAACTCAGCGACACCTAAGTAACATCCATTGTTAATTATTTCGCAAGTAAAAGGCATATCCTTCAGAGAACATCACACTCTCATTGCCGTAGCGCTTACCTCTTTCTTGCTGCGCACGGCGCAGTCTTCCAGGGTCTCAGCGGCCTCAAACTTGCCCTGGCGACGGTACAGCGCGCCCAGATTCTTAAGGGTCGTGTTCACTGTAGGCGAGTCCACCTTGGCTGCCTTGTGCCAGCCTCCGTATTCACCATACGGTCCCGTAGAGGAGCTACCGTTCTTTTTCTCATCAATGCCACTGTTTTTGTTCTCTTCTCGTTCTTCTGCCACCTGCCAGATAGGCTTGTTGTCCCCTGCACACAGTTACATACCCGCAAATTGTAAGCGAAAAATAACTTGCCTTGTTTACATTCATCAAGTAACCAGCACCCAAGATAGATAAATAACAAACACAAAAAAATTCGCATAAATAAGCCTCGCTAAATGTTCAGATAAACTTTAACAGATCACAACCCTTGTCACACAAGGTAAGGAGCATCACGCAAGTAGCTCCTTAATTTAATTCGCATTGCTCCCAAGTGAGCAAAGTAACTCAAGATGACGCTTATTTACAGCAAGCATCACGCACCCACTATGGACATAGCGCAGCACAATTCAAGAACCAAACAGCCTTAATTAAACACAAAAATGAAATAACATCTCTGATACTGTAATACCTTGAACGAGAAAAATAGTCTCAGAAACACGAGGCTCATCGTGCATAAATGATCAAAATTCGAACTTCCCACGGATCAGGAGGACATGCAAAGTAACTTTAAATCAATTCTAAGTCAGATAGGATCAACTTTAATATTCATTGTTCTAGGGAACGATCATCCTTCTCGTACTAATAATGCATTTCAGCATCAGCGACGAGTATAAATAAGCTAGAGTTAACTCACCATCAATGGCGCCAAACTCCTTCTCGTGCGCCCGAGTGAGGACTTGTTTGTAGAGAATCTCGGCCTCCTTATACTTGCCCTGCTTGAGGTACGCGGACGCCAGGTTGTTCTTGGTCTTTGCCACGTTCGAGTCGTCGGGACCGAGCTTGTTCTCGTAGATCTCCAGGGCGCGTTGGTAGTAGCGCTCGACTTCCTCGTACTTGCCCTGAAAGAATTCATCGCATACTCAACAACAATAGAATTCATTTTATCAGGTAAATCAACGAGTTTGCCAAAATGAGCAGGTACGGATACCGCTTTGAAACAAAGAGAAGGAACCACCGTAAACTCCAAATCACTGATATGGCTTACATTTGATAGCGCAACATCAACTCGAAGTAGGAAACCATAACAGTCAAGACTGAGTTGCACGCTATGCGAAAGAGAAAAATTATAAGCTCAGCGAAAACCTCGTGAAAATCAAACAGATCACTGTTGAACCAATCCAGCTCATTAATACTATAAAATAACTTTCTTGAAACTCCTCATGTGCATGAAATTAAGACAATTTACAATAATTGTTCTTATTTGTCTGATGAGAATCTGAACAGCTCGAGTGTAATATAAGCGAGAATAAACATTGTAGAAAAACTAGTGAAGAAGTATAAACTTTCTAATAATGAAACAGAAGTTTAAGCAATTTTGTTCTTCATCTGGTCAAACCACCGAATCATTCGACTACCATTAGGTTTGTTTTCCTATCATAATCAGTTCGGCAAACAAAAAGGAAATTTGGTGTCCTTCGCGCCTATGGACATCACGCGCGTCAACAACATTTTTCAAACAAAGCACTCATTATCGTCATGGGGATATTGACATTACGATCCAACAAACGAATTACGAGTAACTTGCATGTTAATAATCCGCAAGGTAATCAACGAATCGAACCTAATAAGAAATACACTAACATGTATTTACAGGTTAGAAAGGAAATTTTCCAGTGGACGATATTTTAAAATTGACGCCTGCGAGAAATATACCAGGAATCCCGAGAACAAGATTCTCGAGATTGAGCTTAGAAGACAAAATATCGTTAATATTAATACTATTGATATGACTAAGCTATTTTATATGAGACGTCAATTACAGTACAACCAAAAACAACGTCGATTAAATGAAACTGTAAAACTAATTCATAATTATTAAAGTAAGCTTAATTTATACAAAACAATTCACTGGATAAGTTGGAGAAGACTACAGCGCGAGAGAAACTTATGTGCACCATCAATGTTATAAGCTAAAATTAGTGAAAGTACATGAGCAAATTTAGGAGTCATACAAATGTACAAGCTTGCGTGATCCAGGGGCAAAAAATAAAGAAAAGTTTGAACAAATCAACATGCAGGAACAGAATTTTACCCTCGAGCTCATACAGAAATACGGGCATTTGATAAAAAAAAGTAGATCTTCCTTCACTAAGAAAGTACTTGCTTAAGGATAGTATAGCGGTAGCCCAGATACCAGTGAAGTTTGCTCGTAAGCAAGAAATTACCGAGGTTAAAGAATAGTGTTGTGTTTCTAACTACTAACAACATTTGGTAAGTAACAAAACTAGGACCCTTCTAGGCTACAAGAACGAATAGGCTACAGAAACAAATATGTATACCTATCAATATTGGCGTACCGCTTTTCACACGAATATCCATGGAGTAGGACGGGGTGTAGTTTCTCAACCATTTACCGACGGACACATTTACCGTCGTTAAAGCTAATCAAACAAAGACCTGAGACCAAGAGGTCACGTCAGTATAAAAATGATTGAACAAGTCGATAACTTCCAGGCGCTGGTAGTAATGAGTATAATGAATGAAAAGAAACCTCTCATCACTCACACATACATAACCTTCACCATTCTCTGCGCATTTGCTTAGAAATAGGTAAGGCTTGGAGCAACACGTATATGTTTGTCATAGACCCATTAAGTGGAAGCGATGCAATGGAGGAAAATAGCGCAATTTAGGTACATTATCAACTGGAAGACATGGTCATAGTTCCGTACATGAGAGAAGTTGATTCATTTCCAAAACACCCAAGAAGCACTTGAACTCGTCTTACCAGTTCTATCGTTCCCCATGTCAGCCAAAATGTGGTTCCAAGAAGACGTGTCCAAGAGTAAGAGTTATGAAACCATGATGAAAACGTTGAGAATATAGACAGATGAGTCGCATATTTACAAACAAACCGTAAAACACCCGCATAACAGTACCGCATATTTACAGACAAACCGTAAAACACCCGCATAACAGGACCGCATATTACCGGACAAACCATAAAACACCCGCATAACAGGACCGCATATTTTTACGGACAAACCGCAAAACACCCGCATAACAGGACCGCATATTTACGGACAAACCGCATAGCCCCCATTAGAAGCTAAGATTTCACTTACGATCATCTCATCCCTTGGCACACCTCTACGCTCATCCTGCGAGATCTGGCGAGGTTAGCTAAGAGTTAGGGTGCATGTTCCACAAGGCTTAGTCAGCCTACAGTCGCCAACATTGAAGAACTTCACACACATATTAAAGCAGTTATACGGGATTAGAGCCTGTGTTTGATATTAGGCAACGATGGCTGGTAAGCGAGATACAATTGTTATGGACATGGTTTCAAAATTGTACATTTATCAGCAGTAATTCTGAAGGAAGATAAACTTGGAACATAATAAATGGCAATCTCTTTACTGAATATCAAGACAAGAATATGAAAAAGTCAATTGGAATTCTGTGAAGAGGACGAGTTTATTAGCAGAGGCAAGAGGAACGGCAAAAAATAGGTTTATGGCACAGCAATGAGTTATTCAGTAGTAAAAATTATCAACAGGTGTTTAAGGCAAGTGGTTCAGAACCCAATGGCGAGGAGAAACTCTTCCACACATGAATTGTTAAGCACGAGGACGTCTAACTTAATGTCAAGCAATAATATTCAAACCCTCAATCATGCAAGGTTCCACTAACACTGATAAATATAACGAATATTTGAATGTTAGTCACTTCCATCCCAAAATTTAAGTTGAAAATCTCAGTAAAGATTTGACGTTAGAATTTATTTGTTATTTGAAAGTAAAAGATCCGGCTTAACATCGATTTCCAATCACAAGTAAGTTAAGGCATTGCCAAAATGATATTGGGCTTTACAAAACAGTAGCCAACAAAATACTCGCAACATCGAGACTATCCCACGATAAAATGTACAAGATTTCGTATCACACAACAGCGAGAAGCAGGAAGTAGCTCTGCATTGACTTAATATCTATTGAAGTCTCACCAAAACCAAATAAATAACTCCCAGGAGCCTCATATGCTCGAGTACTTTCCAATAATGAGCTATTTTGCGCCTCGGAAAGATTTTTAAGCTTTTTGGATAAGGTAAATTAGCGCCTGGAAGTCTCCAAGTTTTAGAATTTAGAAATTTTAAAGTTTTTGAGTCCATCATAGATTACCTACACTACTGATTAATTCCATTCTATTACCGATTATCATTCAATAACCTACATTAAATTAACTTCTTAGTTAAACTGATATAGCCCCAACATAGTCAAACGGAAAGCCATCATGCTAAAAATTAGTCCAATAAAACGATTGTGACCACAACCCGAAGGATTATCAGAAATTGATATTATTGTTGCTCGATATAAAGTCGTTGATGCTCGAAACAAGCCTTCAGAGAGAAATGGTATACGATACTGGAATCGGTAGGACCGCAAAGTAAATCAATCAATAAATGTGACACGATCTACGTTGATCTCATTCTCAGAATGTGATTTGATTTTAGCTGAGATTTCAATTAAAATCTGCCAGAAAAAGCTTCAATGGATGCTTGAGCACGAAAGATTTCGTAAAAATGAAGTTCAAACAAAAAGTTCTTTGAAAATTAAACAGAAAGGAAGTTTATAATGCCAGTAAAAACGGTCGGTCATGCCTTCTGATGCATTGACGCAATCAACGCGCACGGCCGTGCAACCTTCCCGCCTCGAACCAACCAACATAAACCATGCATAAAAAGCTCAACTGCCAGGCGATCAATGGTGATATGGTGTATTCATAACAATATTGTGCTGTGACTTGTGTACATAAGTACGACTAAGGCGGTCAGCTAGTTTTTTGAAACAACCTTCTCGTTTTTGCCAAGATTCTTTGCTAATGCGTATTTTTTAGATATATTACTTATGAAAAAATGCATTTATATGCCATCACCAACGCGAGTTTGATAATCAAGTGCTATGATGGTCAAATAAATTAGTCAATCTATTATAAAGCTTATAAAGGCTGTGTCATTAGCCTGGCTCTCACTAATGGCATTACAAATAGCCTGGCTGTCAATAATGGCTTTACAAATAGCCTGGCTCTATCTAATAGTACCTATGGTGATACTTACGCATTTAAGCACATGTACGATGCTGGATTGAAGTTGCCTAATGGCTTCCACAAAAAATCCAGTATTCAAACTAAGTATTCTCAAATTTTTTAGCATTCGATTTCCTTTTCAGCTGCAATTCACATGAAGTGAGAATAAATTGCCTCATTGGCTTTAATGATTATTCTTAAGCAATGCCTTTGAATTATTAACCTGTTAACTTTATAATTAGTAGTAATCTGGTGATTTGTTAATTAGTAACCTGATGACTAGTTAATTATTAACCTGGTAACTTTACAATTATTAACCTGGTAACATTACAATTATTAACCTGGTGACTTATTAATTATTAATCTGATAACTTTACAATTATTGACCTGGTTCTGGCAGAGCAGTGCGAGATTGTTGAGCTGCTTGGCGACGTCAGGGTGGTCGCGCCCCAGCACCTTCTCCCTGATCTCGAGGGCTCGCTTGCACAGCGGCTCAGCGTCCTTGTATTTACCGCGCTTGCCGTACAGCACCTGCACACACAACTCGCATTAACTTCAAATACATCACCGTTAAACCTTCAATATTTCCGAAGAAAAAGCATAATTATTTCCTAAGAAAAAGCTTCAATATTTTATAAGAAAAAATGCTTCAATATTTCCTAAAAAGAAGCTTCAATATTTCCTGAGAAGGAAGCTTCAATGTTTCCTGAGAAAAAAGCATAAATTTTTCCTAAGAAAAAAGCTTCAATATTTCCTAAGAAAAAAGCTTCAATATTTCCTAAGAAAGAAGCTTCAATATATCCTAGGAAAAAAGAAAAAAGCTTAAATTTTTCTCGAGAAATAAATTTATCAGCTTTATGGATCATTCAACAAATACTTCGGACATCGATTGCATTAGCCACTGGTTCAATGGTTACAGATCGAGTCCGAAATGATATTAAAATTACATGCGCTTGAAAGTAACTGAATCGATAAATAATTTAAACACAGACAGAAAGCTCCCAGTTAGTACAGAAAACGCTGAGTATGAAGGACAATCATCCCATAGCACAACCACCTCACCCAGACAGGTACTCAATCCAGTTTAAATTAAAAACCCGCAGCCGTAGATTTGGCTAAATCGAAAATATTGCAACGGATCTAAAACGGAAATACTATACTGAAATAAAGAGTAATAAATTATCAAGATTTAATTTGTACGTCACTTTGGGCGTATTGATGCATTTTTAGTAATACCCACTGTGCAAATAAGTAAATAACTAATATGTAAACAAATAGAAACAAATAAGTGCAAATATAAGGAATAAGGACGAGAACACACAGCCAGATTGTTGAGAGTGGCAGCCACTGCAGGATGGTTGTCGCCCAGCGTCTTCTTGCGGATGGCCAGGGCATCGTTCAGCAGATTGGCGGCCTCTTTATACTTGTTCTGATCCCTGCACAAAGTTATGAGTGTCAAACAAAAATTGTGAGTGTAAAACAGAACTAAAATAGTTATGTAAAAAGTTGGTAGCACATAATGATCCACACAAAACAAATTGGATGAAAGATTTCCCATCTACAGAATTCGCAGCATTTGCAAGGCGCTACGATACATATATATGAACAAATAATAAGGCAGATGGCGCGTAATATAAACAATCGCTTTACATAAATAATGCATCACATTGTCAAGAATGCATCACAAACAATTGACAATGAGTTAACAATAAATGACCTGACAGGCGAACATGATCACACCCAAACACGTGCAAAAATGTAAACATTTACGGTCATTTATCGTAAGATCAGAATGGTGCAAAAGGCATAAAATATCATATGAACAAAAGAAGAGTAACAAGGGTCGCATAAATTAAATTCTGCGTGGAGGTACTGAAACTTTCCAGAAATGACAAATAATGAACGAATTTATTTAAATAGAGAGTAAAATCGATTCACAATGAATTGATTTAGATTGATTCGCAATGAATTAATTAGAATTGATTCACTATGAATTCATCATGACTGATTCATAATTAATTGTTTAAAATTGATTCACTGAGTTAAATGAAGGACCAAAGCGTATATTAAGGATAAAAAAGGAGAGCTAAGCCCGCACCTGTAGACGAGGGCGAGTATGTTGAGCATGGTCGCCACGTCGGGATGGTCGTGGCCTGACGTTCTCTCCAGGTCTTCCAGAGCTTGTTTGCACAGTGGCACCGCCACCTCGTATCTGATGCATCGTTATCACTTCAACATCACCAATTAACTATATTTATAATATATTTCAATATATTGTCGAGTGCCGACACTCTTGTATTTGCACAGTGGCACGGCCACTTCATATCTGATACATTATTTATTATCACTTCAACATCCTCAATTATTTACTCGATATACGGTATTGTATAATAGGTACTTCAAGATAATAAATTCCTAATGAATGAATTAATTAATGATTGAATGAAATACCTAATGGATTGTAAAAAAACATCAAGTATACACTCTTTCCCTACAACGTGAAAAGTTATGAACAGATCTATAAGTCTCATATAATAAATATTCCGATAGGCCATTAACAACAGGAAGGATTGATGTGATATCCTGAAGTAAAAAAGGATGACCAAATTGTGAATAGATTAACATGATTTGAAAAAAACTACATGGAAAAATTCAGATTATTATGAACTCGGGACATTAAAATTCCGTAAGCCAGATAGGGGGTAAATAGCCTTATATTAATCAACAAAAATATTCAGGCCAGTATGAACTTGGCTCCGTACAGATCTAAATTACGGAAGTAAGATAGGAGGTTAATATGCAAATAATACCGGTATCAAATATCGTTTAACAAAAGTGAACATGGCACCGTACAGATCTAAATTACGGAAGTATGATAGGAGATAATTAGACATATACCGATTTTAAATATAGCTTAACAAAAGTGAACTTGGCTCTGCACAGATTTAAATTACGGAAGTAGGATAGGAGGTAAATATGTAAATAATACCGGTATTAAAGATTGTTGAAGAAGAGTGCGCAACGTACCGTCCCTGCGAGGCGTACTGGATGACGAGGTTATGCAGCGTGCGCAGTCGCGCAGGTATTTCATAGCCCGCAGACACCTGCTGCGCGAACTGCGCGGGCGGTGTTGGCGACAGCGCTGTAATAAATCAGGTGTTAGGATAACGCTGTTGATGTTATGCATGCACGTAGCTTTAAACTTCACTGTGACTTCGAGGAGTCACTGTGAACATTTTGAAAGTGTCATTTGAAAGGAAAAAGTGTGACTCGAGAAAGGTAAGTGTGAAAAGTGACTTTGGAGTTTATTTCCCTTAACCTTAGTCGGACTGCATATATAGGTGAAAATATTCCTAAACTTGGTATAATGGTAATGTGGTAAAGTTATGCAGGCTGACAAGTGTTAAGAAAGCCGTGTTTAGCGGGTCATTAACCGTCTCATCTGCTAAGTTCGGTGCTACAAACAATATATAGTCGAGGTGGTTTTAATTTTTACGTATTTATAACTATAGCAGCGATTAATTTGCATTGAATTAGTCTGATACAAACATGTTTTAATCAGATGAACTATTGTCGCCATCAGTTAAGCTTTCGTCATGCCATGTCTGAGCGCCCCTGAACCAAGCGCATAGCTAACTCCTTGTAGGCAAAATGAACGTTATTCTCAATACAAATTCTAATATATTGGTCTTCTGTTCAGTTTACCTACTGGCCCTATATGTCTTTTACAGTTTCCAGTTGAGCAGGTTGCCTACAAATATGCCAGAATAATTGAACACGTTTCGAAGGAAGGTGATAAATCAGCGAAGATTCGATGGGAGATAAATGGATGAATTTTATACAAGTGCAAGGCACGATATCGTGTAAATTTTTTCAAACTCTGAACATTGAATAAGAAGGATAAATTTTGCCCTGTTTCAAATTATGCTAAAATTTATATGAAAAATTTCCCGAACATGGTGCGAATTTGATAATCTCCGAATTACAGTAATGAATCACATAAGAATATATCAAAAGCCTAAGGTAGAGAATTCCTATCAAAAAATTTAATGAAGTAATAAAACAAAGAAAATTCAGTAGGAAACAAGTTACACCACAGAGGACAGAATTAATGAAAAAATGCATGTCAGTAGTAAAGACATGGAAAGAAAACATGTAGGTAAAACTTGGCCGAAAAAAACAAGAAGCAAGAGCAAATCAACAACATATCAACAAATTCAAAGAACGAAAGATAAGGTTGATACAGGTAGCTATAAATAATATTCTAAAATCAATACCATTTCTAGGGGCAATAATACCATTGAGGAACACACATACTCTAAATAAAGCAGCAAAATGCCATCAGCACAGTAGGAAAATTAGCTATTCAACATCACAGCAGCAGCGCACCACTCCACGAATCATAGTAACATAAACAAAAATATGTTTGGATCTCAGACGAGGGGAACCTGGAACCTAAAATTAAAAAAAAAAAACATTTCAATAGAATCACGAGGAGAGTAAGGCAAGCATGTGGTCTGAAGACGAAAAAAATAGAGATTCTCGCAAGGAAGCTTGAAGTTATTCATTTGATTCACGAGCTCGAAGCACACAAATGAAAGTTTGGTATGAATGAGACTCACCCAGTGACGCTTGCGATCCAAAGTCTCCACTCTTCTTAAGACCTGAGGTGGCGGGAAGACGTGCAAATAACAGTGCATTGAAAGAGCAAGCAAGATATGAAAAGCATATGATAATGGAAGTGGATGAGAGTGCTTCGAGCCAGAGCGGCAATGTGATCCTTTTAAAATTATCGATGTTGAGCTTCAAGATTAGGAATTCTTTTCACGAAAATTAATATATTCATCATTAAGACCAGGTTTTCCGCTCCAAAAATATACATTTGACATATTGATAATATTAATATCACTCCAAAATCGAAGTCGCATCAGCTCAGGTAAGCTTAGTGAATGAAAAGCAAACTATAAACTCAATTGTGAAGTTCAAAGACGATGCAAGATCATGAAATAATAACTCATTCTATAGTTCATAGTTTCAGATATTTTTATCATGATAACCATCAAGACTTTGAAAAGAACAAATTCATGAATAAGATAAGAAATAGCCAAATGCAGGCAATTTTCATCACAAAGTACACAATTTTACCAGAGAGAAATAAATCAAAGAATTATTCATTTATAATCATTTGAGACTAACAACGAAGCATTGAAATTTAACTCCATTAAAAATGTTTTTCGCGCATGTATATAGAAATAAATATTATAATAGATATAAATATAGACGTTTTAAACCAGCCATTGAAAGTTGCTTGAAACGTGAAAAACAAACAAGTTTTTCTCGTTTCCTCGAAACGAGAAAACTTGAGCCCGGTTACGTAAACCTTATTTTTTGTAATTTTTTTTTAATTGAAGGCAGGTAAACGAAAATAACAATAGGTTTACTGGTCGTTAATTAGCAAGTTAAATTCAGTGGCATTGGGCAGTTATATACCAAACAAGCTTGCTGATGCGAATGCGATTTAGGTAGTGGCGAAACGTGAGTCTAAAAAAGTGCTTGTCTGAAATCCAACTGAAATATAAATAGTTATTCAGGGGACATTATTGTGCAATTCAAATTTCAAACATCCCTTTTTGGTGAAATGTTAAGAGATCGTGAGAAAGTGCGTGAAGAACAAGCATGGCAGTTGATCCTTCAAGAACCACTAGCAGACCTCAGTGAATAACGCATAAATTTAACATTAAAATACACGAGCTGGGAAGTTATAAATATTGCACGAGTTTGTGACAAGCGTTAGCTGGAAGTGGTTCATGGAGTTATTTTTAAAGTGGAAATTTGCAAATCAATTCTCACAACACAATCAAATATACAATCTTAGATTTTCGGTAATAAATGAATTTAGTTTATCACTCGGCAACTAATGCAGTTAGATGAGCTTTAATGAATAATACTTGTGACACAATTAAAAAAGTATAAAACAGTCTACAATTATCCTTCAACATTGTTACTTGAAGGGAAACTTAGATATAAAGAAACTTTTGTTGTAAACTATTCCGATTTTAACATGAGCACACATAGACATGAAAGTTTAAACAAAAATTAAGCATGAATTTTCCTAGTAATATTGAATAGCAAGTCCCATTTCAAGCTCAGATTATTATTGTGAATACCGAACTCCATTTATAAGGTATAAAATAGGAACGTAAAAACCACCTTTTTTCTAACCGCGTCAAGACAGAAACTAGGAAAATATTCACTGAAAATTCCTGCAACTCTGCTGAGATGATCACGAGGAAAGGTTTCAATTTTTCCCGCTGTTCATAAAGTTATCAAGATTACTTACCCTGTGCCGAAGTGCAAATTTATCTGCCTTTACACACAAGCTTTCAGTTCACATTTAATGAACCAATCAGTTACAATCGTTCAGAATTAAATTCACAACAGAAAAAGCTTAAGCCGAGTTTTGTTATGATTTATTATTCAGGTAACAAGTGAACACATTTTAGAAATAAGTGAGATTGGGAAAGGAAAAGTGATATGAGTGTCAACTGATAAACGTTTTGTCAAACCAACACCCCAAGCTGAATAAAATCTGCCTTCTCATTCAGACATGATTGAAGTCTTGCTTTTCAGACACAAGAACGCCTATGTATTAACAACCGAAATCAAGAAAAAATAACAAGCAAACTCAATGTAATGCATAGAGCGTTTGTTGACTTCAATCTCACTGAATGGGGGCGATGTATCTTCATCAAATTATCAGTGCGAATGAACGCTTTAAACTAAGGATGGAATTTTAAAATTAGATTCAACCTAATTAACTTTAGTAACTTTTTCCACGTAATGCGAATCCAATTTGTCACGTAAGTAATTTTACTTGAGTCTTGCTGGCTGAATTCGTAGCATAGCCGAATTAAAATTACAATAAAAAGCTTTACTTAGTCACGACTACGATTCACATAAAGAGATTCCCGGTACCAGCAATCTAATGCAAGGCACCTCTCTCGAAGTTCACCCTTGAAGGTTTCAAACAAGAGTAATCCAAAAGCAATGAAGTAGGACAAATTTATTCAACTCACTTGATCTTTCATCGCCATCATCATCAGGGAAGTAATCTGTGCTGGTCTCTTCCTGCTTCTCTTTAGCGGGCTGATCATGTCCAGCTTCACCCTCCTGCACGTCGGCATCATACTTCCTGATAGAAGCCATGAAGTCCAAATGCTTCTTGTCCTCCTCGAGTTGAGCTACGCGTTGTTCAGAGGCTTGTAGCTTAAGCTGCGTGGAGGCAAGCTCGTCTCTGAGCCACATGTTCTCTTGACACAGACGTCTCACTTGTGCCCTCTGCTTCTGCTTCTCTGCCTCCACTGTCTGCAGGTGCGACGCCAGCGCCAGCATGATCTGCAGAGGCAAGTATGCAAGATCTGCAGAGGGAAGTATGCAAGATCTGCAGAGGGAAGTATGCATCATTTGCAGAGGGAAGTATGCATGATCTGCAGAGGGAAGTATGCATGATCTGCAGAGGGAAGTGGTGAGCATGATCTGCAGAGGGAAGTGGTGAGCATGATCTGCAGAGGGAAGTGGTGAGCATGATCTGCAGAGGGAAGTGTGCATGATCTGCATGCAGTATACATGGAAATGGTAGCACTTTGCCATATGAAACCAAATATGGAGGAACTGCCCATATTTTATACTATTAAAAAAACATCCTTATAATTAAGGATACTAATACCCCACTAAGGAGCATGCAAAACAATATTAGCATAGATTTCTGAAGCAAAATGCAAAAATGAGGACACTTTAACTAGATTTAATTATTTATCACATGTAATGTTTCTATAATCAATATGTATTCTGAATACCATTAACTTTTTGTACAAATCTGCAAGTCATTCAACCTGTTCATGAAATTAATTATCTTTATTTCAATAGGAATAAAGGAACATTCATTTTCCCACCATAATACTTAAGGAGAAAAATCTATTGATAAAGAGGTAGAAGCTAGGCCATATCACTTAAGTACACAATTGCTCACCTGGGCTTCTGATAATCCTAGTTCTATTTGGTCAAGGGATTTCTGCAGAATCCCAGCCTTCTCTGGAACATTTTGGACAGGCTGTTGTGCCTGTGTGGGTGAATGTTCTAAAGCAGTGTTCAGGCCAGCAAGGATAGTTGTGTGTTCATTGCGCAGAGCTTCTAGGCCCTGCACTATAGTGCGTGTGTGATTCACAACATCCTCCTGTGATACTGCCGTCATTTCGCCAATGCTCTCGATTTTCTTTCTGTAATATAGTGATGGCATAAGTAAGATTAATTATACATTCCCAACAATACTGTTACAGAAAAAATTGAAATAGTTCCTGGACACCAACAATATAACTGGCAATATTACATGCATAAATGATAGGGTAGGTGCTCTTCATGCAACAGTTAGTTCTAAAACAATTGAGCTAAGTTCTCATGATAAAATTGGCAAAAAAGGGTTTGTCATACATAAATATCTGATTTTATCATTGCTAAGTAAGTTCAATAGGCAAACTCAACTCTTATTTACCACAATGCTTGAACAATTTGCTTCACTCAATGTTGTGCAAAACAATAACTCACATTCTGTAAGCAGAGATAACTTGGGACATCATCAATCAGTCTATTTGAACATTGCTGCCATTGCAGCAATCAGTCAACAGTTCGAAAAATGGATCAAAGCTCTGCACAAAATTGTGGTTGCAGGGACCTGTCCTAATCTACTTTCTTGGGTAAATAATTTCCCGGAGGTTTTCTACTGCTATGGAAATAATCCTCTGTGCATAAAAATCTAGTAAGAAGAAAACATCACAGCATATAGAAATGTGGCTATAAATCAATACATAATAAAATCTTCTCAAAATACAGGCACAGAAAGATAGGAAAACATGCAGTGATTCAGCTTCTATTTCAAACTATTAAATAAATACAACTTTATGTTTTAAAGCCTAATAAGTTTGTTCAATATATTAAGGTACCGTAAAATGGGGTAACTTAGACCGGCGGGGTAACTTAGACCACTTTTCGTTTTTTTAACAAAAACCCCCACAACTCAAAAACTATTTGACATAGAAAAATTTTGTCAATGGGCATTAAAGGCCTAATACTGAGGATTCAGGAGCCAGCAATTTATGGTGAGTGAAGCTAGAGTATAGACCTGTATTTTGCATGTTTTAATTCAAGTTTAATTTAGCTAGTAAAAAAATGGCATCATTTATAAAAAAAAAGTGGTCTAAGTTACCCCAGTTTACGGTATGGGGTATAAGATTAGGTTTACTAAAAAAAAGTTTTTATAAGTATAGAGCCTAGGGAGCAAGTGCAGGATTTTCTCACACAAACTAGGCCACAAAGTCTGGTCTAAGTGACCCATTCCATCTATTGCATCCAACATCTACTTGTACATTTCAACACAACAGATGTACTTTTCATGTTTTTGGTGCTTAATTTCAGTAATAAAATTTATTGAAGAGTCAATATTGCACTCAAGTCACTGGCCTTCAATAGAAACAATTATTTTATGAACACAACTAACCACATTTTCTAGTGCAATCAAAACAGTTTAGTAGCCATTGTGGGCTTATCTAACCCTATAAATTGTAGACTAGTATTGTCTACAGCAACCAGCAGCAAGGTATGTGCAGTTTCTGAACATACCTTGAGTGGCAACTTATGTAGCATCGAGAGTAGGTAGTCTAGAAGTTAAAGTGTGGGCTACAAATAGAATGCTCAACACAGGATTGGAATTTTCCTACTTGTTTCTGAAATCTCGCAGCTACAACATGACAAATTTTTAATGCATTTGTAATCTCGCAGCCCAATCTTGCATTTTCATTAACAATTAGATAGGAGGTAATTTATGTGACGGAAATCTTGTGGTTCTGGACATGGCGGGAAAGCTCTAGTCGCGGCCATGAAAGCTCTAGTCACGGTACATTTTTTCCACGCATGGCTTAACATGGCACAATGAAAGCTGTATTCATCAAGCGTGCATGCCATTGCTATTATGTTGTTTTGGAACAATTTAGTTCTATTGTTTTCTCAAAGGTGACATAGTCCTGAGATACCATTTTCCAATAAAATTGATCTATATTTTAAACAAATTAATAAAGACATTCTAATGGCTTCAATCTCATTTTAGACATAAAAAAACATTTTCATGAGCAAAATAATATTTATGGTAATGAAATGAACAATTATTAAAAAAACTGAAAAGTTGGAAACAATGCAAAAATCTACTTTTCAAGATTTGACTATATGACAACTACAGCGCTGCTATATGCCAGAGAGCCCGCCTGCGCCTCAACATCCTCAAATCCCTTGCCGGAACCAGCTGGGGACAGCAGAAGCAAACCCTCTTGGTGACTTTCAAGGCTCTTATAAAGTCTCTTATCACCTACGCTGCCCCAGTGTGGCTCCCTAATGCCACTACCTTGGCAATCTCCAAGCTGCAAACTATTCAAAACTCTGCCCTACGCATAGCCATGGGATTTCTTCTAATGGCCTCTGCTTCCCACCTGCACAGTGAAGCTGAGGTCCTACCTGTGGCCAACCACCTCTCTCTACTCTGCTCACAGTTCCTTGCCAGTGCCCTTTGGCCACACCATCATAGCTACCCTATTGTCCCCCAGACATCAGGGCCCCATTTCATGAAGCACATGCTTCAGTCCCGCTTCCTCCCTTTGGTCTCTCACCTGCTGGAAGAGGGATCCCTCCCTCCGGACACCTACTCTGCTGCCCTCAGCACCCTGCACAGCTCTGTTGTCTCATCCTACCTGGCCGCAGCAGCTACCAACAAGGTGCTGCTGACCCCTGCCCCCAATGTCTCATCCAGCGAGCTATCCCTGCCCAGGGCAGCCAGAAGCGCCCTTTCCCAGCTATGCTCTGGCTACTCATCATGGCTCAATTCGTACCTTGCTCGCATCGGTGCAGCCAACAGCCCACTCTGCCCTGAGTGCGGTGCAATAGACCACACCACCAATCACCTCTTCAGCTGCCCTTTGCATCCCACCTCGCTTACCCCACTGGACCACTGGTCTAACCCTGGACCGACTGCGGCTTTCCTCTCCTCACTCCCATCCTTTGCCGACATCCTTGGAGTGGAACCCCCGCTCCCTCCCCCTCCCTTGGAGCGGCCGCCTTTTTGTGGGCGCCACGGAGCAGCGATCCCAGGCAATTAACAACAACAACTACAGACAGAGACAGACAGACTTCTAGATTCTAACTCTAAGAATTAGCTATTAAAATTTAGGTGCTATTACAATTTACTAGGTAGCAGAGACACTTTCAGGATTTTAATACAAAAACTTATATTAAAGTATTTTAAATTCATAATTTGATAGATAAATAACATTGATCATTTTTATAAATATGATGCAAAAAATATTATTCAGTTATGATTATCACAAACATTATTTATAAATGTTATACAATTTATAGGAATAGGGAAGAGCACCTATGGCTATGGTAGACGAGTTAAGAGTTATTTCAGAGTAAACATGACGCAACTCACACAAGTGACAAGGTTTTGCAATTTTAATGCCCAACATTTGGTTTGGACTCCAGGACATGTGTCATGTGGTTACATTAATCAATCATTTGTAGAACAATTCTATTGTCATCCATTGATTCCAATTCTAAATTAAATGACAATAAATGGATTTGGTAATTGGTAAATTCACTAAAATGTTAGGTAACTAGGAGTCTAGGTATCAGTATGAATCCCTGTAAAGGCTGTAATATTTGGAAAAGGAAATTTCCTAATTATTTCAGAAACATTTCAACTTTCATGAATGAATACGCTTGTGAAAACTAGGCCTTTGCCCTTTGTTGTGTATAAATGGTAAATCAACAGTGAAACACTAACAAATAATATCTCCATTCTTCAGATTCAAGAAACTTTGCAATTGCAATGGGTCGCAAGACGCAAGGGGGAAGGGGCTGTTGCAGCAGCCAGCTTGAGCTTTCAAACTATCACGACTTTTAGTTTCAGTAACAAAACTGTCTATATTTTCGACGCCAGGACAAAAATGTTCAGCAGGAGTTTAGGAAAATAGCAGGATCAATATTATCATTTAGAAAAACAGTCAATTAGATTACCAGACGATCCACGCCCTATGAAGAAAGAGAAAGCCTATTTTTCTCAACATACGGACACACCTCCCACAACAATATCACCACCATCACTGGACGGCTGAGCTCACTCAGCCATTGAGCAACAGCCAGTTACAGCCAGCCAGTCATGGAGTCAGCAATAAACACAGCCAGCCCTTCAAGACCTCGGTTTTAGGAAAATAGAAAGCAAGGAATAATTTACTTACTCACATAACAAAAAAGATGATTGGAGATTATCTGAAGTTGATTGCACTCACATTGAGTAAAAATAATGTAAAGGTTTGCCAAATATAGTCGCCCTTTAGCCAGGCCTAGCTCTGCGCAAAAGGCAGGACACGGAATATTAATCATAGGTCCCGCTCAATACGCTCTACTAACTCTTTACAGCTTGCTCATAACATTCCAGTTTGCTCATAACATTTTTCAAATTTCTCATAAATTTACGATACTTAAGTCAAAAATTCATAGGGTGTTTGTTATTTGGGCGAATTTCATAATTGTTGAACAGTGATAGCTGTAATTGAGAAATTTATTTTCAAATTCGTGCGAGAACGAATGAATTGACGAAATGATTCAGCCTTAAAGGATCCGCAACAATTATCTGAGAGAAAAGTTTGGGTTCGATTTTCGGTCCATTTATTAAAATGATCATTTCTAGCGAAAAATGTATAGAAATAAATTTATTTTACTTAAGCAATTCCAGCCAGAGCCAATCAGCACACATAGTTTTGAAAGTGACCACGTCACAATGCTGGGTCATAGAAAAAATCAATCGCTGTTGCTCTTCTAATTGAATTTGGTGAACTTAGTTAAAAAAAATTCAGTTCATTTGTTGATAAATAGACAACGTCATTATTCCGTAACGAAATCCTTTCACTGCACCTTGAAATATATTTTACGTATTTTTTGCAGGTCATGACTAGCCAAAAATCCGCAAGAAGTAAGGATGAAGGCAGCTACAATAATTTATTAAAAAACTATTTGGCATAGAGAAGTCACACCGATTAAAAAGCTTTAACAAGATTGGGTTGTTTAACCAGCTAAGTAGTTTTTCAGGACAGGTCGCGATAACGTGAAATTAAACAGGAACCTACTATATGCTAGACGTTATCACACTGAGTTTCACATCACTTTTAAGTTCAATGTTAAATCAATATGAATGTGTTATCATTTTTTTACATTGAGTAGATATATAAACAGAAGCTTTTCGCAATTTGTATAATTTTGTTTAGCAGTTAAAAGTGGCTAGATATCGTAGCCTCAACATTTTAGGGCATTTGTAGCGGTGAAAAGCTCAAGTTTCAGAAAAAACGACGAGTGTTGAATTTAACTTTATTTATTTATTTATGAGTTTTTTAATCCATTGTTAATTTAAATCAATAACTTCAAAAGTTACGGGGACACCTAACACGTCCCGCTCCCGCAATTGATTTTAGGTTTAAATTTTGAATATGTATTACTGTAATCAAATATAATTTTAAGATCGTGCGCAGCGTGATTACTCAATGTTCAGAAATTCAAAACTTTTGTGAAAAATTTCTTGAAAGATTTGATACAGAAAGAAAGTAACGTTGCGCGCGCTCTTAAAATTGAATTCGAGTGTAAGACATTCCGAATTTCAACCAAAAATCAATTACGGAATACGAGGCTAGATTTAATCGATGAATTGAATTGAATTTGACCCGATATGAGCCCTG